TTAAGTGTGAATTTTTGCGCTATTACCAATACATACATACATACAATTGCGTGACTTGATTTCTAGTTACATACATATGTATTTAAAATTTTGTTTCAGCACCTTAGCATGGACACCCTAATGTAGATTTGTACTTTACCTACATACATACATACTTAAATATGTATGTTTATACATTTATGAACTTACGTACATACTCGTACATATCTACATACATGCATATGTAGATTTTCCTTCTTCGTGGAGCGGCGCTACGTTTGCGGATTGTCTAATTTTAGCTTTTCCTCTAGCATATGTTCATCAAAGTACGATGCATACCTACATATGTATGGATGTATGTATGTATGTATATGTATATGCTATTCTCTGCGCAATACACTTTGAGAATTTGCGCTAGTCGAAGAGCTGAAACTGCGCTAATGGAATTCGGCAAGTCGTCGAAACGCAACCGTAAAAAATCAAAGTCTATAAGCACTCTGGAATCATGGACACGTACCGATTTATAGACTATAGACAATATTTATTCGGCAATATGTATAAATATGGACGTAAGTATATATGTATATACATAAGTACAATTTTGAGGTACACGTACAGGCGATATTATTAGGATGCCTCACACCCAATTTAAAAATTCGGCAACGTTTTTATTTTTATGAGCTTACTAAACTTGTTTATCAGAAACGTACAGAAATTAACGGCTTTTTATATATAAAAAAAACTCGATGTGAGGAAGTTTAGTAATTTTTTTTTTATAAAATTAGAAACAAAAATTTGTTAAGACATGACGTAGTTAATAAAGGGGCCCTAATGGAAATCATTTACGCATAGATTTTTCCATAAATTAGGGCCAGTTTTTCAGCGAGCGGTAAACTCAGTTTAAACGTCAGTCAGCTCTTAAATAAGAATGCAGTACACGTGATTTAAATTTAAACTGGCACTGAAAAACTGACCCTCTAACTCATTTATGATTTAGAAGTAACCACTAGTGTGCAGAGTATAATCAAAATATCTGGTTACCATGCATTTGAAGTACATCATGCTGCATGAGTGAGGCACCTTAATGTACATACATATTTACATATGTAGATACGTGTTTACATACATATGTATGTATGTATACTTCGTTCGTTGATACCTTATAAAATCGAAATTGTTTTGCTGTTACGTTTTTCGAATATAAATTGTATGGCATTTTTATTCGTGTTGTGTACGCCCGTATTTCTATTCTGAAATATGAATCAAAACTTGTGTTGACAAACAATAAGTATGTACTACGATATTTCTGTTGACATAATTAGTGCGAAGAAGCATAACTATAAAATTGGCAGCAAGCATGTATGTAAATGTAAATCTCAGTGGCAAATACATATCGCACATAATCTTCAAAAGTGACACAACTCAAAATTGGGCATTTTTGAAATAATGCACTAAAAACGTACATAGAGCTTTTATTTACCTTTAAGCAAGAGCTTGAGCAAATTTTTGTTATAATTTGTTGAAAAAAACCCTAAAGTAAAGTCTCCCTTGCCCATATGATTAGCATGTGCTACAAAATAGTTTTTCACATTTTCTGACAAACGTGTAATTTTAAGTTGTGCCACTTTTGAAGATCATGTGCGATATTTTGGTCTTGACCTTCAGCTTTATGGCACATGGAGCAACTACTCCTTTTGGAACATGGTACATTCGGCAACAGAATCATATTGCCAATGGTCCTCGAAGAGGTGGTGTTCAACTCATATATCAGTTTTTTTTTACGATTGAAGTTGTCCAAGTCAGCATAACAAGTTACTAGTATGAAGCCTGCTCTTTCATCATTTGGCATTATAGTCGGCGTTCAAAAGAGAGAAACGTCAAAATCAAAAAAATTAAAAATTTAGATTGGAAAACATAAAAATTGTTGCAATTTTCTTTCTTGGTAAATTTGTTGTGCTGCTGAGTTGGGCGAACGTTCCAAAGCTGCTATTCAATCGCTTGTTTTGTATGGAAAAAGGTTTCACATGCAAATCGATTTTAGCAATTTCTATTTATTTCATTATTGAATTAGTTTTATATTTAAATATTGTTACTTCGTACTTGAATTTAAATTTAGAGTGCCTGGCGCTGATCGATGGGTGAACAGAAGAAGGTCTATAGTGCTCTATGTTCTGTGTAGATCCGTATGTACAATTTAAATTCAAAGAAATAAAACAAAAATTAAAAAGTTTAGTTATTGGAGTAATTTATGTCACTATTAATAAATTTGTGTAATAATCTTATCTACCGTTATGTTAAATTACGGAGTTCTTACAATTTTTTGTGGGATATGGATTGAAAACTAGGGTGGTCTACTATTTTTCAAAAATTTTACCCATCAACTCCCAGCAGAACAGGTCTTTTTGATCCACTGTTTAAAAAATGTTCCTCTAAAATATTAAGCGCCAAATTTTCCTAAGGGTGTCCAAAGTAATGAAAAATATTACTAATTTCCACCAAGAAGGTGGAACGCGGTACGCCGCATTTGGCCGCCACCACTGAAAAACCTAAGGGGCTGAGAACAAATATGCGCATCGCATTGAAGGCTAAAAAACAGTAACAATTTACCTTTGATTCACAATAATTCGCTCATCAGTTATTGGCAAAAATACCGTTCGATTTTATGCGTAGACTGCAGAAGGGAATTTAACGCAAAACTACACTGTATGCAAAAGTAGAGAGCAATTCGCTTAAAATACGTTCGAGTTTATGCAAATGTATGCCTGTATACATAATTGGAAATTTGCAGTAANCCAGAGAAAATACTACTCACGGGCTTTATTTCCTTTTTTATGAAATAAATCAAGCGGGCGTTATGTCCTTTTCTTTAGGAAATAAAGCCTGCGGCCATTATTGCTCTTTCGCAAAGGAAATAAAGCCCACGGGCTTTAATGCCTTTTATTGGTGGGCGTTATTTCTCCTTCGAAATGGAAATAACGCCCATGGGCTTTATTTCTCTTTTTTTTTGGGAAATAAAACCCATGGGCGTTATGTACATACTTTTAAATAATACAGAATTTAGCTAAAAATTTTAAATTTTCAAACATTTATTAAAATTTTACATACAACAACAAAATTTTCTTTAGCCATGAATTTAAACAGTATACCTATGCTAGTTATCAAACGAAGCAACCAATCGCATTGCCAACGAGTCCTTTCCATTAATCGTCGATCGCCAGCCAACAACGAACTGGAGCAGATAGTGAATGACATTTATGAAACGTCGCTGATCACTATATGGTCCAAAACGCCATTGGCCATCGCTATCAAAAGCTGTACTGTGCCGTTTGTACCAGAAGCGCTTAGTAAATTGGAGTATTTAGTAATGTTGACACTTTGAATTAAGTTAACCGGGCTGAACGCAATATTTGAATGCGAAAAACGTACTTTAAGCTCATGATTCAATAATTAATCATGATGCGTTAAGCTGCCTGCGCCCATCCTTACATATTCTCATTGAACAAATTGGGACAGCGCACATTGCCGCCAGACATGGCGTAGATATGCCGCCGCAGCACTCGAATGTGCTTCTGCGACACCTCGAAATTGTGCACCAGTGTGTTCAGTTGTGTCTGCAGCTCGGCAATTAAGCTATCTCGCTCCTGAATTAAGCTCGTCGTTGAATTCTGACTACGATTCAGCTTCAATTCAAGTTCGAAGACGCGCTTCTGCAAATCTCTACGCTGCTTCTCCGTCTGCTCACGCTGACGCGCCAACGTTCGCTTGTTCGTATTCTGCACGCTATCCAATTGATCTTTCACTTTCTGCAGCTCCTCGGCCAGCTTTTGCTTCTCATGCTTTAGTGCTGTATTGTAGTTTTTGAAAATTTTGAGATCACGATCTGCTGCCTTTAAACGATTAATGGTCATCACTTTGCGGCGTGCCAATTCTTCCATTTTAATTTTCAACTGACTCGCCTCGACCTGCAGCGAACGCACTCGTTCGGCCAGCGCATTATTCTCTTTGTGCAACTTCTCGCACTTGGATTGCTCGTCGCGTACAATTTGCGGCAGGTGCGACACATCGCGCAACTTGGAATCGATCTTGTGACGCAACTGATCGATGCCTGTGCTAATTTCCGTTTCGAGCTGATGATTATTCGAGTTGAGCTTCTCGATTTCTATTTGCTGCACTTGCATTATATGCTGCGCCTTGATGCAGCGAGTATGGTAATCCTGTAGGCAGTTGTGTTGCTGTTTAATTATGTTGCGGAATTGCATCTGTTCATTTTGCAGATTCACAATGGTCGACTGCATCGCTTTTAGGTCGGCGCTCTTGCTCAGACTATGCGTCTTCTGATTGTTGTCCAAAACATTCTTCAACACATTGTAGATGTCCTTGAGACCCGCCGCTTGGTCACGTGGATTGAATTTCTCCGTAGCGCGTGTTATTGGGTGGTGTGGCGCTTCGTTCTCCTTGTTAAGCGATTTACGCTTTGACGTACGTTTCTGTGGCATTTGACTATTTTGCAGTCGCAAGCTGGAATACTCGGATGCCGATGTTAGTTTGCGTTTTCTAAGCGTAACTGCTGCTACGCCTTCCGCCTGCATAGTGCATTCATTTTCGATATTTTCATTCGATGTGGTACAATCGGGTGGCAGCATGGTCATGAAACTGCTGCCCCGATGAAATATTTGTGTGTACTTTCGCTTCAGCGAGAACTCCGAGCCGGTGCTGCTGCTGCTGCTGCTGTCCGAATAGGCATTCGTTTCTTTTTTGCATTTGCGGTTGGCGACGAAGCGATCGTGTTTCCGCTGCATTTCATTCAATTCAAAATTGATTTTCATATATTTCTCCTCCAAATCTTTTGTTGTGTTATTATACTCTTTCAACTCTTTTTTGTACTTGGATAATTCAGCTTTCAATTTCGAAGCGACTTCACAATGCTTAGACTTTCGCTTACCAGTGGCATGGCATGATGATCTCAACTCGAGAGAATTGCTCACATCGCTCGTTGCGGCGTTAATAGCTTGCGAATCCTCTATTTGAATGGCATCTTCGGATTGCTCCTCCGACGGATCACTTTTGTAACTTAAACTTTGATAACTGGAATTCTTGGAATTGCAAGGCAAGCTCTCTGAAGCGGTGGCCATGTCGCCGCCGGAGGCACATGTCGGTCGTGTTAACTTGAAATAGGGATGGGAACGCCGCTCTAGACATTCTCCTGGTTTCGCACTTAACTTTTGAGTAAACTCCAAATTTTGACTATTTCGATTCATTTGTCGCCTTTCTGAAAGGGTTGACTTTCTACAAAGAGGCGTACAATATGGCTGTTACTCTTACGCTTGTCTGTGCGAATTGCAATTTTTTATTTAAAAATTGGGACTGTATTTACCAACAGAAAATTTTTCAAAACTCTTTCATTCAATATCCAAAAAATTATTTGAAACGACAACAAACTTGAATGATGTGATTAATATAAAATGATTGCTTATCTTTTGTTTTCAAGTATTTTTGGTCGAGGAGCAAAGAATGTGCGGACACATATCTCTCCAGCCATTTATAATAATCGTGCCAATGTATTTTAAAAACGATCTTGCGCGTATTTCCAATGGACTAATGTTACGAAGTCCTGGCAAAAACGAGAAATTGGAAAATGGGTAGCGAGGAATCGCTTAGGCAGGAGTATGCTTTGGTTGATTTTGTAGACATGGAAGCTGCTTTCAACAACATCAATGTAAGCGCCATAACGGGTGCCTTAGAAGATTTTGGTGTTGACTCTAATGGACATTCTGCGCTAAAATATTGCCACGCTTAGAAAGTGGGCAGAGAGTAGGGGTCGCGGAACTGAGGTAATTCTCCTTTCAAGGACACATAGGCTACTCGCAATCTCCCAGCTAATTTACAAAGCTGTGGAGATTCCTTTTTAAGAGAATGTTAAGTGGAGAAATAAATTTTTACACGAATGGATCCAAGCTAGACAGCCGGGTTGGCTACTGAGTTTTTTCTACAGAATTAGGACTGGAATTATCCGTCCGAATTCCGGACCACTGCAGCATTTATCAGGCAGAAGTTCTAGCTATAAATGAGGTGACTGTGTACCTTAGTACTCATGCCGTAATAATACTACGATTAATATCTTCTCGGTTAGCCAGGCGGTCATCAAATCAATGAACGCGGTAATGCTAAGATGAAAGGTTGCATAGCAACACAATGAGAGGATCTTTGCTTACCAATGTTCAGCGGCTGGCGTGCAACGGCAAAACGGGCGCCACGCGCACTTGTCCAACCGCAGTCTTGGAGGTCATACGTGGCCTGAAATCACGCCACATAAGCGTAGTACTGCACAACTTAGTTTAGGATCCTGCAGTAGTTACAGTTCTAGCCTATTCATTAAGTATTGACACCGATATGACACCTCTTCACATGCCAACTTAAATCTACCGGCGTCCTAGGACTCCAGTTGTATGGCACTATCTATGGCAACTGGTGACAATTCCAGCAGTGTTGAACCTCATGACAGATTTATTGATAGATATGTATTAATATTGGGTATGCCCCGCGACCTAGTGATCTATTATGCCTTTTACTCTTCAAAACACTTCTTCTAAGCCGAGGTTGGGTTAGGTTAGAAGACTGCGCTTTTGTGATGCCACATAAATATGAACGACGACCATTACTTAGGAGATGAAATGCCGATGGACCGATTACGAATGCGCCTAGTTTTAATGTCCGATAGCTTCTCAGGGCTGGTCAGATTGTATGAGCCCAAAGGTATCTATCTTCACCTCGCGAAGGCTGGGCAGTGTAATAGAAAGTGTTGAGGTCATTACACTACAGAATCTTCCTGGCAGCTGCTACAGTAGGGGTCAGGCAATATTCCTAACTTTACAGCGTAAATTCCACTGACACAGTGACCTAACAGAACCCACACCACTGAACACCGAACCTATATCAACTTTACCAAAGATAATTGGAAAGACTTCGCAGAATTTACTGAAAGCACCTTCTCTGCCCTCCCCACACCAACCGACGTCCACCTAGGTGAACGTAAGTTCCCCAGGGTTGTCACTGCTGCTGCAGCCCGCTCCGTACCAGCAGGTCCTAGTAGATGAGCGTGACAACCCTTGTCAGGCCCATTCAGGAAATCCCCGTATCAGGGATCTCAACACGGAGATTCGGCAACTTGTGAAAAGTGGGGAGATCATTTGAAGACTTGCAACTTCGCCTCTGGTGTGAGTAAGCTATGGTCAACCGTGAGGTCACTGTCCAATCCAACAAAGCGCGACGACAGAGTCGAAATTTCTTTCGGCGACCACGCTTCATCGGACCCGGAGAGATGCGCGCGCTACTTAAGCCGGCGGTTTATACTGCATCCTCCAGTGGGCAGAGCCAAGCATCGAGTGACCAGAAGCTTGTAAAAACTGCCAATAACAAGTGCGCCTCTTGTTTTCACCAGCGGTGAAGTTCAGGTAGCCATCGGGAAGGCGAAAGCCACCGAGGCCATGGGACCCGACGGAATATGCAATGTTGATGCTGAAAAATTTCGGTCCTGCGGGAGTAGCGTACCTAACGAAGGTTCTCAATTTGTCAATGGCCACTCTCGTCGTTACAGACATCTGGAAGATGGAGAGAGTGGTCCCACTGCCCAAACCGGGAAAACAGGCCAACAAAGGAGAGTCTTATCGTCCGATAACCCGCCTTTTCCCGAAGCGAGCGAAGACTCTAGAGGCCTTGCTACTCCCGTATTTTACGCACCGCAGCGAAGCATCATCATGGTTTCCGTAAAGTGCACAGTACAACAGCACTTAACGCCCTTAAAGCTCAGATAACACGTGGCCTAAACCGCAATCGTCCGTGTGAGAGAACCACAGTTGTTTCACCCACACAAACAAACAAGTATTTTCGAAAGAAAAAAAAATCAGTGAGCAAAGTTTGATACTTCATTGGCAATCAATAAGGAAAAAATTATAAATTATAATAAAAAGAAAACTCCTATAATACAAATTACCATAATTCCTTCTAAATTTTAAGTATTATCTATTAAAAAGGTTAGTCATCAAATTCTAAATAAAAATGACCAGTGAACAAGACCCAGAGAAGAATATATCATTGGAAAATTTAGATGAAGAAGAATATGAATATATTTACGGCACGGAAGATGGTATTTATTCCCAAAGTGAGACCACCCATATGGGTGAAGAGGCTGAAGAAGCGGCCGAAGATCAATTCTCTTACCTTGGGGAGGCATCGGATGATCCAGAACAAAAACGTCGGTTCATGGAATATTTGAGCCTAATCAAAGAAATCGAATGTCAAAACCAAATGGTTGAAGATATAAAAGCTAAAATAATGGAACTCTGCGCAAAGCCTTGTAAAACAAAATGCGAAATGAAAGATATTAAACGGCTGCGAGTGTGTATGGAACAAGAGTTAATAAAGCTTCAATGTTTAATGACAAAAGCTATGGAACTACAAAACTTCGGTTCCAGACGTCGCTATCCTGGAATAGCGATTGCCACGACAATAGACGAGGACAATATGACACCGTACGCCGGGTGCACACATCCGCAAATTCAAAACAATTGGAAGCGTAACGAAAGCAGTGACGACGCGGATAAAGGCGTCTGTGAGGAACAGAAGGACTCAAAGGAGCAGAAAGCTTTGCGTGGCTTGTGTAAGGCATTAGGCAAGATGAAAATCTGTTGCCCTGAAGATAGAAAGCTCGTACAGGAAATTGCCTGTGCTTTATTGGGACATAAAAAGAAAAAGAATGCACAATCTTCGCCACCTTGTATGCCGTCATTGCCACCATGCCAAGGGCCATGTCCACCATTTGCTAAGACCTCGAAGAAAAGCAAGCCTCGGCTCTACTCCTCCGATTCAATGCCCGGTGCAGACTCGCTGGAACGACTCAAGCAGAAGATCACGTGCATGCAGTCATCTGTGGGTCAACTAAAGCAGGAAATTTATCGGCGTGAACGTCAAAAGCAGCAGCCCTGTTATGGAGTGACGGAAGAAAAAGAGGATATTTGTTCAGAGGAACCCGATCCCATTGGAGTTTGCTTAGGCAAACGTACTGCCAAAGCTGATGAAATGGCTAGGTTAAGAGAAAATTATCTACATTTGCTATCAGAGTTCACGAAGAAGGATTGCCAATTAAAAGAGATGGAAAAAAGGTAATATTAATTCACATCTTATACTGTTTTATTTGGAATAAAATATTTCCATGCAAACAGGCTCAAAGGATTTTGCGGAAGCTGTAACGACGGCAACGGCCGCGGTGAAGGACGCAGTGCCGACCAATCGGAGTNAGATGGAAAAAAGGTAATATTAATTCACATCTTATACTGTTTTATTTGGACAAAAATATTTCCATGCAAACAGGCTCAAAGGATTTTGCGGAAGCTGTAACGACGGCAGCGGCCGCGGTGAAGGACGCAGTGCCGACCAATCGGAGTTGATTGTGCTTCGGCAACGTGTCGCTGATATGAAAGAGGAGCAGGTAGAGTTCAAGTGTCTTATGAAGGAACAGTCGCAGCAGTTAGAAGAATATCGCAACAAGTACCTCGTAGCACAACAAAAGGTGGAAGAACAAAGTGTAACGTTGGAGAAATTGAACATGAATAACAAGCGCATTGAAAAACAAATAAATACAGAAGTTAAAGAGATTCGTGCCAAGTTCCAGGAGAAACTCAACGAACTCCTGCACTTTCCTAAGCTGTTGGAGAACGAGCAACTCAAGTTAGCACAAGCCTGCAAAGAGAAAGAAGATTTACAAGGCAAGCTAATGCTCGTATGCAAAGAACTTAAAGCGCTAAAGGCCCAAGTTGAGGCGCCGAAGGACGATGTTGATTGTCGGCCGAAATTGTTGAAATGTCAAATGGAGCTCGAGCAGTGTAAAACACGACTCGAAGAAATGGAGAGACAACGCGACCTCTTCTGCGAACAGCTAAAGACTACGCAAGACGATTTCGACACATTACGTTCCGAGTCGGCCAAGATCATTGCCCGTACTAAAGAGCGTGCCGAAGCGACAAGGTGCCAAATGCAGGGACAAATTGATAGGCTCGAAAAGGAATTGGCACAATGTCGTGCCACTGCTTGTCTTTCGGTCAGCGATCGTGAAGCAGTTATTCGTGAGATGCAGGGCCAACTTAACACACTTTCGTATAGTTTCGATGCAGCGCAAAAGCAAATTAAAACGCTGCGCAATCATATTGCTTACGTTTCCAATGAAAATTGTTTTCCTGTGAAGTGCTGATTAACGAATGCATTTCTTTTAAGCGTAAATGAAAGATTGTAATTGGTATAGCTATGGCTTGTACACGCAGTTGAATGCATGTTTATTGCTATATCTCAAAATATGTGTGGAGAATGTCTCCAGCATTTAATAATGGTCGAAATTTAATTAACATCAAAAAAGTGTCAATTGAATAGACCGATCATCAGTGTTCCCTTCTTAGCAGCTTATTAGTTTTATAAAGATTTTACTGCCAAGCGTTTCATTTTGGGCGCCTTTTTCTTGGCCTGGCGTTTCTGTTCTTTTAACTCCCAGCGACGCTGTTTCTCGGGGTCCTCTTCGGCAAGCACGCGTTCCTTTTCTTGCTTGCGCTTATCTTCGCGACGCTGAGCAGCAGCTTCTGCACGTGCTGCATGTGTACTCTTCAAGAACTCTTCCTCAACACGTAAGCGATTTTTTTCAGCTTTGTTTTTGCCCTGAAAATTACACATAAATTTTGGAAAGGCAACTTTTGTTTAATTTTAGAGTTTTACCTCCCTCGACATGCGATAAACTTTTAGACGCTCCATTAAATAGAAGATTAGAATAAGCAAAGGTTTAATTGATTCCATATCTACACTCTTTGGCAAGTTAAATCCTGCCATAAGCATAGCTTTTGTCTCCGGTTGTTTCAAATTATTGGCATCTTCTTGTTGGATTGGACCACTAAATTGATCAGAAATATGGATATAGTCGATGTAGCGCTGATATTTATTAAGCGCAGTTATTATGCGCGCCTCTAACATTGCTGACGTTGCTTCAGGTATTTCTGACAGCACACTAAATCCTGCAGGTACTTTGTAGCGATCCTCTGGCTTACTG